CAATGACAATATGAAAAGATAGTAATCCCTAAATTCAATTCCCTCAGTAAAAATGTTCTGTGATTCTGACTCAATGCATGTTTGCTAGTTGAGCAAACTTCCTGAGTAGAGGACCTGACTCATCTCATGGATGTACTAAGCAACCAATTGTGTCGGGTTAAATGAATAAAGCAATAAGCAAAGTAGACCACCAAACACTGGGAAGACAGTATGGTAGGTACTCCAGGGCCTCCAAGCCCCCCTGAATACCCTACCTGGACTCCAAGGCTCTTCTGCCTTAGCATGCATCTTTCTAAGAGCCCAGCTTCATGAGGATCACTGAAGTTTGTTTCACTTTGGATGAAGGTGCAGAGCTGCTGGGCACCCTGGTCCTGGCACACTGAGCTCATGACTCGTCTTCTCTGTAGGGGACTAAAGGAACATCCTTTCCAAGGCATCACAGTTGTTTGGGCAAATTTTTGTGTTTTACCTAGGAGGAATCCTACTATCAAGAAGCTTAGATGTAATCAAAGGATATGTAAGAATCCTTCCAATGGCAAACACTCCAGAGGTCTGGATGTCTGAGTAAATTGTGGTTTTTGTTGTTGTTCTAGGAAATGGAGACCCACACAGACCAGGACAAAGAATTGGAGATAGGGGCGTGGATACTAAGATCTTATTATAATGTAAGAGTAAGAGAGGTGGTGGTCTAGAAATTTAAGAGCAGGCTGGGTGCCAGCGACTCATGCCTGTAATCTTAGTTATTCAGGAGGCTGAGATCTGAGGATTGTGCTTCAAAGCCAGCCTGGGCAGGAAAAGTCTGTGAGACTCTTATCTCCAATTAACCACCAGAAAACGAAGTGGTGCTGTGGCTCCAGTGGTAGAGCGCTTGCCTTGAGCTGAAGTGCTGAGGGACAGCGCCCAGGCCCAAAGTTCAAGTCCCAAAACTGACAAAAAAAAAGAAAAGAAAAGAAAAAAAAGGAAGAAAAAAAGAGAAAAAAAGGAAGAAAGAAAGAAAAGAAAGAAGAAAAAGGGAGTTCCAGGAAGATGGCGGAAGAGAGGCTGGAGGCTAAACAAGCTCTCACATAGAAAGCAGTGAACAGTCCTAAGCCAGAGAATCACACCAAGTGTGCCATCACAGGACAGAGAGTCAGGCCAGAGAGGGAAAATCCAGGCAAGGAGACAGCTCTGAGCACTTGCCAGTAGCTGCCGCCGTGGCGGCAGCAGTGGCGGTGGTGGCTGAACCCGCCATACCTGAATCACAGAGCGTCCAGGCCGAAGGATTCTATTCACCACCAGCAAGAAACAACAAGGAGCAGACATCTTCATCCTGCAGTTCGCAGACCAGAGACGACCCAGGAACCAAGACTTGGCTATAACCCCTGCTTTCACTATATTTGATGTCGGTATAATTTGTGGAGGAGAAGGGGAAAACCAAGTCGTTTAAGGATACAGGTGGACCCCTTGCAACAATGAGAAGTACAAGTTGTCATGTCGAAAACGAACTTTACAACTTTGGTGGGAGGGGCGGGGGGAGGCTGGGAAGGGATGTGAAGGGTAAACAAAGGAGGAGGCTGCAATGCTTGATAAGAAATGTACTCACCTTGCCCATATAATTGTAACCCCTCTGTACAGTATGTTCACAATAAAAAATAAAAATAAAGAAGAAAAAGAAAAAAGTAAGAGCAGAAATCTGGTACTAGAAAGTCACTCCAGTTCTGAGGACCTCTCTGGTGCTCAGCAACTAATGTGACCCAGCTGCTGTGGAGAGGTTAATTTCTCTCTGCTTCTCTTCCCTATTCCAGTTTCTTTGTGTTTTCTAAAGTGTACATCTGATAAAACATGAGACAATGTATCACTAATCACTATGGTGAACAATACATAGAGAGAAATGGAAACCCATTTCTCCCAAGAAGCTGAAGTGAACTAAAGTTCTACGAACTATCAGTTGTGTAAGCTCAGATTATCTGGATACTTCTAGCAGTATGACCTTGGTCAAGGCTCAGCCTCCACTTGTTCATTTCTAAAATAGAACCTTTGCATCTCTTTTCCATACTCACCCAGCCACTGGATGGCATTAGGCCAGTCTCTCCTCTCCTCCCTCCAGTCCTCATAGGTCAGACAAGACATCTGAACTACAGGATACGTTCTACCCCTACTCATCCTTTCCAACTTCCTAAACAGTTCTGCTTTGTCTACCCACTCACAATGCTGTGATGGTCTGGCTATGAAATGTTTGCCCAATAGGCTCATGTATTGAAAGTCTGGTCCCTAGCTGGTGGCACTATTTGAGAAGGTTCTGGAATCTAGGCAGTCAGACCTACCTAGAAGAAGTAGGTCACTCAGGACCTGTTTTGGGGAGTTGTACCTTGTCTCTGATCATTTCTGTCTCTCTGTGTCATTTTGCTTTGTCTGTCTGCTTCCTGTCTACCATAAAGTGAGTAGCCTTTGCCACATGCTTTGGTCACCATGATATTCAGACTTACCACGGATCCAGACCTCTAAAAGCATGAGCTAAAATATATCATTCCTAGCTTAAGTCATGTCAGGCATGCTGTCACAGTAATGACAAAGCCAACCAATGCACTTCCCTGTTCCCAAAGTCCTCAAAACCCTTTTGTCTTAGAGGAAAAGACAGGGAAGAACATCCTAAATACCTCGTTTAAGGAAACATATTTGTGTGAAAACTTGCATTCATGCCATGCTTTTGTAATGAAATTCTATTCTCTTTGCCCCAATTTATCTGTTTAGAAATGTTTCCTTTTAAATATTATTGATCATCAATTGACTTTCAGTCACTCCTCTGATCTCTCCTTTTGTTCAGCCACCACCCACAGTGCCTGCCCTTGCCCCTCTGTCTCTCCATTAAACTGTAATAATATATAAACAGACTTGGGGACGCTCTGGGAGCAAAGGGACCCTGGGGCCAGCCTCCCTTCGGACTGTGAATTGTCATTCCTGAAGCTGTCTGTTTTGTAAGTTCTTCTGCCAAGTTTCTATGGGAGCAGAGGGATCATTTTCTCCCTTTTCAAAGAGCAGGGTGAGTTGAGGCCTTGAGCTGGCAAGTCCTTTAAAGTCATTTTCAAAGGAAACCTGAGCTGAAAGGCCATGCAGTTGGCCCAGGGTAGTGTGACTTTCTGAAGCTCTCTGGGGCTTTGGGTGGTCAGCCTCCTTCGGCTTCCCAGCACGTGTTCAGAGGCTGCTGGGAAGTCACTGCCTAGGGACACCCTTCCCCAACCAGTGGGCCCATGACCCCTCCCACTGCCACCCAGGAACAAAGAGGGAATTAGGTATTTCTCCTCCTGGCCAGTTACCCCCACCATACTTGTCCTCTCTGCTCTCAGGGCCTGTCAATCAAACTTGGTCCCTGGGGTTTTGTGAGGTAAAATAGAAGTGGGTGCCAAAGCAAGCTAAGGGTGAGTTTATGTTCTCAACTGCGGATTATAAATGGGATACTTAGCCCAATCCCTTCCTGGATAGATTGGGAAGGGGATTTAGAGGGAAAATAGAGGTCCTAAGCCACACAAGAGGGGGTGGGCTGAGTTCCAGCAGACAGCTCTTTAAACAGAGAGTACCTCCACAGGGGTGGGGGCTGGCTAGGCCTCTAATCTTTGGAGTCTACAGATGTCTGTCAATCCAGGAGACACCAACGATTCTAAACACAGAAGCCAAGAAGTGTGTGTTGGGGCTAGTTACCTTTGATTTCCTCCGATTTTATAGAATAGCCACACAAAGGCCCAGGGAGGAAAGAGGCTCAGAAGAGTATCAGAAGAGTGAGAAGTGAAGGTTTTACAAACTCAGCCCAGGGCTGAGGGTCCATCCGAATTCTCCACTTGGCCTTCATGAGCAGGGTCTGGGGTCTTAGTCCATTCTAGTGCTGGGGAGAAAGGAAGACCCAGGCCAGTCTCCCAGGAACAAGCCCCCCACCCCAGCCTCATCTCCAATAGGGATCCCTTCTGACACGACACCCACCAACAGCCTCTCCCTTCTGAGACTGGATCCCACTAGAGCTGCTAAAGCAGCTGCTACCATTGCATGTCCAGATCTCATTCCCATACAAGACCTCCAGACCAAGCCAGCTTGACTTTTCAAGGTTTTATTCTTCTATTTGTACAGCTATATTTTACAATGCGGTAATGCAGTTTAGACACAGCCAAACCCTGTCTCCGGAGTAGTTATAACACAAGCATGACGCAGAATGGGATGAGACAAACGTCCTCAAAGAGAGTTTAGTTAGTGACAACTTCAAGTCCTTGTGTCTGCCTACGCTTCAAAAAGGGATGGCGCACACTCGTCCATCATTGAAAACTTCCGTGAAAAAAGGCACCGGGAGGACACGTTGTATATACAAACTGAAAACTAGAACAAAATTACACGTTTTCCTTCTGCACTTTTTTTTGTTCTTTTTGTGTTTTTTTTTAATACACACTTTGTAAATTGTAAACCTTCACTTGCAAAAAAAATACAAATACAGAGGCATTTTAGACAAAATATTTTCTTACTTATACAGATGCAATACTTAAAATATTCTCTTAAGTGCTCTTTCTCAATAAAGATTCTCAGATCCGTGTCTGCCTGCAGATACAAAATCGAGCCTTTGACGCAATTTATATTTTTAATATATCTTTTTTTAGGTTTATATATTTATATTATATATATATTTATATATATATATTTATATATTTACAACTCTGCCATATATTCCTTCACCTTTGGTTAAAAAAATTAAAGCCCTCTCTTGGATAACATACCAAAGTCTTGTCTTTGAAAAGAACAGCACATTTACATACAAAAAAAAGAAACATTTGTTCCCACAAAACATATACATTCCTCATTTCGCAGACTGAGTCAACTCAGGGTTTCTGCATACTCCCCAAACTGTGAATCTATGAAATGGTTTTGCTTGTGGCTGACGTAGTTCGCTTTTACACATAGGAGAAGAAGCAATATTATTTTCTTAATGGTTCATGGCAGTGGGGGAAGGGGAGCGGCTGCGCTCCCATTCTCCCCAGGCCCCGCCCCCCACCCCCCCACCCCAGCTACGATTCGCACTACTGGATGAGAGAGGCACTACATCATGGGATGAAGGTTGTAAAGTGTTACAGTATCCTTTGGGTCGATTCTGAGAAGGGGCTGGAGAGGAAAGCATCAACACTCCATGCTTCAGCAGGCTTTGGGGAGCTCCGGAGGCAGGTCAGTGGTGGCCACACGGTATTGCACCTTGGTGTTGGTGATGGCACCGTGCTTCTGGCGCAAATGAAGTCGCAGCTGGCTTTTGTGACGAAAATGCAGGTTACACTTCTCACACTGGTGGGACACAAGAGGCCAACTGTGAGTTATGATCAACCCAGGAGACAGGTCATTGCTCAGAGACCCCCCACCACCCTCACCCCTACCCCAGGAAGAAGCTTCTCCCTGCCTGGGCCTCCAGGAGGTCTTCCCTCTCAAAGGCCTGGTGAAGACTTCCTCTAGAGATAAGCAAATATTGTGCAATTGTCCCTGACCCACTTTCCAAAGTGTCACTCATGCTTTTGTCTGGCTTGAGACATTTCTTCCCTGACATGAATTTAATGTCTTAGCCAAAAGATAAGTTCCCATGTACACTTCCCTAACGGTGAAGGCATTTCTGAAGCAAAGATTAAAAATAACAATAATAATCCCTCTCTCCTTGAGAAGTCAGCTTTATAGCCTTATCACAAAGCCATCCTTCTTACTGGTATCCTCAACAGGTAGATAATACTTTGAGGGCAAGGAGCACTTCTCACTAATCTTCATTGTCTACCTAGAAAAATCATCACTCAGGCAAATAATACAATAACCTGGAATGCACTTAGACAAATGGATTGGACCAATCTGAATTCATGGAAATGCTCAAGTCTAAGATATGTCTTTAAAATACAGTTGTATTCCTTCCTAGGAGAAATACCTTGCTAAGCTAGCAAAGCCTTAGCAAGTTGAGTTCTCCCTTTGATTCGATAGTGTTAGCAAGGAAAGTCACTTAAAAGTAAAGTAGTTAAGTGTAATGAGGTAATGGGACAGAAAAACAGGCATTTGGGAGTAAAAAATTAAGACTAAATTTCATTTTAAAAATCATAAACCCCCAACATAATATGAACTGTAATTTTATAATTGTGTATCTGCATTGATTCATTAATTGTGACAAGATGTATCTAAAAACAGTGTAAACAAGAGAGGAAGCTGGATGCATGATCTTCACAATCTTTCTATATATTTTAAACCATTGCCATAAAACAGTATTATTGGGCTAAGTGCAGTACCTCATGCCTATAGCTTCAGCTGCTCAGAAGTTAGTGATCCAGATCACGGTTCAAGGTCAGCTTGGGTAAAAAAACTTGCTAACAGCAAGCCTCCTCTGTCAACAAACAAGCTGGGCATAGTAGTTCCTATCTGCAATCTAAACTGTGCAGGAGGCATTGGTGGAAAGAGCATAGTCTCAAGCCAGCTGGGCAAAAAGCAAGACTTTATCTTAAGACAATAACCTAAAACCAAAAGGGCTTCAGGTCCAGCAACAGCAAGACACTGAGTTTCAAACATTTTAAGTTCTTGAATGATAATAATAATAATAAAGTGACCTATTGGGATGGAAAGCATTTTAGGATAAAAATGGAAATAGATTTAGAAAATAAATGAACCAATAGTGCAATACGGTAAGAAGCCCTGGCTCTTGAGAGGCCTGGCCTAGAGAGGTATCCACTGTCTCTCCACCACCCACTGTACTATGTCCTGAGCGTGTCCTTTCTCCCCCTGGGTCTTGGCTCTTGCTCTGGAAGGATTAGGGCCATAAATACTACTAAATCATCCCTCTCAACTACAATATCCTCTGCATTCAAAATTCTAGCAAATCATGACATAGTGAGTAATTATTAGACACTTGCTACATGCATAAGCTATCCTGAACAGTTGGATGAATTAGTTAACTTAGTATTACTACTCCAGGCAGGAGAGGCCATTTTCAGGCTCATTTTTTCAGATGAGGAAATTAAGTCACTGAAGGATAAGTAATAAATAAAGAGCTAGTATGGAGATAGTCACCCCAAGCCAACACAAAAAAGCGAACACAAAAAGGCCCATTTTGCAAGTCAACATATGGGCTGCGGAAAATCATTTGTAGACTGGTTCTTGTGCCTGTTACCACCGAAAGTAATGCATACAAACTCCTCAAAAGCAGCCATGCACAGAATAGAAACAAATTAGTGTGGCCATCTAAAGCTCTCTACAATTGAAATTTCATTATACTTTTGCAATTTCATTAATGATTATTTTTGTTTTATAAAGCATTTCTAGTTTGTTCAATATTCACAATTTAACCTGCAAGCTCTAGTTTTTCTGGACTCTGCTCTAGAACACAATTCCACCAGCCTGTTCACAGCAGGGTGCTATGGCTGCTCTTGCTTGGAATGGTCTTTTCTTCTTGTGCTTTGTCATTGTTATTTGTTTGTTTTTTTATTGCATCACATTTTGAAGTCTTCCTCCTACCTCTAAGACTGCTTCTTTTCAAATACCTTAGCTGTTCTGAAATGCACATTTAGCACAATATAGGAGTGTGTTATAGGCTCTCAGTAAGTATTTATGGAATGAACAAATGACCCTAACAGCTCGATTTCCCTTGTCTGGACTTCTTTATATGGTTCAGGTAGCCCAGCCCAATGCCTCCATTTCAAAGATGAATACATTGAGACCTGGGATTGCCACAGTGGGTGTCTGTGGCTTTCTGGCTCAGAGCCAGATCTCCCAACCTGATAGGAGTGCCCGAGTGCTTGCAATTGGTGCCCACAGTTCCACCGCCCCGCCCTCCACCTCCTCCAGAGTCCTCAGGGTCTTACGTACATGGTAAGGTTTCTCTCCTGTGTGGATGCGCAGGTGGCTCTTTAGAGTCTGAAGGTGCCGAAAGCGGGTGCCACAGATTTCACAGGGGTAAGGCTTTTCTCCAGTGTGAATAAGCACGTGGGCACGGAGGTGGGCCACCTGAAGGAAGAGCCCAGCGTGAAAAGCTCTGCTAAGAGGGGCTGCAGACCTTCCAACAGGTCCTCTCCTCTGCCCCCCACCGCCCTGGATGGGCTCTTGCCATGTTGCCTGCTTACCTGGACAAACCTGGCTCCACAGGTTTCGCATTTGTAGGGCTTCTCCCCCGAGTGGATTCGTGTGTGGGTTTTCAGGTTGGCTGGCCGGTTGAACTGGGCCCCACAGATGTTGCACCGATAGGGTTTCTCACCTATTTCCCAGAGAAAAGGAAAAGACAAAACCATATTCCAGGAGGTCATCACTGATGCTGGCCCCAGTATTTCGAGGCAAACTGCTCCTTTCCCACACCTCTGCTGCTTTCTTGTCCCTCTCTCTCTCTTTTTGGAAGTATTTTTTCCTATGATCTTCTTTCCTGTTTGCTCATCTCAGGTAATAAAAAGTGTTACTATCTTTAAACAAAAGGGGTTTCAATTCAACATGTCAGTTTATGAGCACAATGCATCCTTCTGCCCCATCTCTCTCAACCCTTAATCCTGGCTCCATTTTCACATACGTACATTGAATATTATGCCTCCATATGCCCACCCCTCCCCTCACAATTCATGTCTCCCAGCCCCCCCCCCCGAACTCCCTCTAGCCCCCACAACACATGTTCTAGCTTCCTGGAATTCATTTTGTTAAACTATCAGTTACTTGTTCAAAGGTTTCTTTCCCTCCTCTTCCTTCTCCTTTGCCTCCTCTCTCTCTCTCTCTCTCTCTCTCTCTCTCTCTCTCTCATCCACACCATCATCTCTTGCAGAGCCAGAATCAAGCAGTGGCATGGTGGGGTAGGAACAAAGCTAGGTATGGGACAGGAGCGGGAAGTTCCACGAAGCCAGCGCTTCAAAACCAGTGCTTTCATCGGGTTCATCTCCCTGTAGAATGTGGGCAAGACAAGGTCCTTCTCTGGACCTCAGTTTCCCTCTCTGAATGGGTGGGACTAATTGAGGTGACCTGGAATGCCTGTTCTGGCTTTCCCTTGGATAGAACTGATGCAATATCCACTCCCTCACCAGGGAGATACAATCAGGCTGCTCTAGTTTCTCTCTTTCAGAACAAACATGCTTTTCCATTTGTGGCAGCTACAGCTGTATTCCATTTGCTAGAGGGGTGGGGCAAGGATGTGAGTAGAGCAGGCAGAGGAAAGCAAACGAACGGCTGAGCCTTCCACCATGGAAAGTTTCTGGAATAATGGGGCCACCGAAAGGTCTAAGAGACAATAAACACCCTACAACAATCAGATCGCAAGAAGCTACCTAGTAAGGAATGAGAGCTGGTTGATGAATCTGTCCATAGAGGACATCAAAAGGCTCCCCCCCACCCCTCACCCCCCACCCCCACTTTAGAAAAATTCACTTTGTCTCTGTCAGCCTCAGTTTCCTCCTGAATACTGTAGGATTAACCCACTTCTAACTCCAGCAAAGGTAGAGAAGTAGGACAGAGTCTCAGAGGAAAGACAAGGAGCACAATGCGTAAAAAAGTCCCTTCGTGAAGACCAGACAGGCTGGGATGGGTCTGCTTCCTGCCTGACCCCACTAGCTGCCAAGGCCCCACTCTGCGCCCCTAGAATTCTCTCCCCTGTCCTTCCCTTGAGACTCCTAGAGAGCCCTGGAAGGTGAGCCAGGGCCATACCTGTGTGGACGGTCTTGTGGCTGGCAAGGTTGCCCTTGTAGCGGAAGGAGGCCTGACAGCGGTCACACTTGTAGGGTTTGTCACTGTGGGTCTGCAGTGTGTGCCTCTTGAGCGAAGCCTCCTCAGAGAAGCGGCAGTCACACTCATTGCAGAAGAAGGCCCCGTTCTCTGTCGGAAGGTGAAAGGACACCATGTCAGCAGGAGGAAGGGAGACAGGGCTCTAAGAACTCCCTCCTCTGGGTCCCCCAGACTCTCTCAGCATCACTCATGGGAGGCCAGAGCAAAGGAGGGTGGGACAGGATCTTTTGAATCATATATAGAGGCTCAATCATGGTGGAAGGGAACCAAGACAAACTAATGGGCATTGGTAGCCTGCGCCTGTTTGCTGAAGTACTCTTCCTCTTCCCAGGAGCTTGAGAACCTTTCTTGTCTATTCACTAATTTGCATTTATCCACAGCAATAGCTCACTCATTCTGTGTCTCATTTTCCAAAGGGAGGATCACAATTGCTATCCTGCCTACCACATAGAAGCATATTACATAACACAAAGTAGAAGAAAGCACTCTAGGGACATGAGCTAGAAGTCCAACTCAATCATACTTTGAAGCCACAGTGAGAGGGACTGATGATAAACGCAGTGGCCATCCTCACATCTGTCTGGATTTCATATCTCTGAGACTGGGTGAATACCAATAATGGTAGAAGTAGAAACAGAGGCCCAGAGAGGAGGAGCCAGAAAATAGAGCAAGGCAAACAGCCAGGACACAGAAGAGGACAGTCTCTGCTCTTGCTCTGACTCAGGATCTAGGACCCTCTGCCAACCCTCTCACTACAAACATTTGTTTTTCTTTGGTTATAATGATTGGAATATGTCAGTGTCCTAGTGATTTACCCTGTGTTTGACTGGGCCAGTGCTAGGTCAACAGTGAGGCTTTTTTTTTATCTGGTAAAAATTGGGGATGCAAATTATTGACTAGGCAGAAATGGTAATTTAATAATTTGATTTAACTAACTGAATTCAGCTTCTATTTTTCTAACTATCTCCTCCGTACTAGAGACTTTCAAGGACCTATGTAGGATACAGAAATACATAAGGCCAGACACTTCTCCACAGAGAATCTGAGCCTTACAAGGAGCTCTGATGCACAGAGACAGGTCAGAATGATGGTTGTGGCACAGGGAGGCTGGAAAGCTCTGGGGGTTACAGTCAGTCCCGCAAGCTGCTTTTGCTAGAATGGTTCTGCAGGTGGTTCTGCCCATCTCAATTACCCCCAGATGAACTCCAATACCCACCCCTTGTTTTGGTCCCACCCAGTTCCCCAAGACTTGAAGAATGGGTGATCTGCTGGTGATTTTAAGTACTAGCAGACTTCTCATTAGGAACATTCCCAAATAAATACACAGATAAAATGGAAACATACTACCCGTGGAACAAAGGAATTCTCCTTTTCCCTGTGCAAGGAGGGAGTGGACAGGAAGGGACTCACCACAGCTGGAATCTGAGTACTCAGACTGAGTCTCTCCCATCTCCTCTGGGAACGTGGGGCCCGCAGTGTGCAGGCACATCTCTGCATGCTGCGGGGACTGAGAACCGCAGGATGTGCACTTCGGGGGGTGCATGTAGAGTGGTGAGTGGCTCTCACTGCTGTTGCGGGGTGAGCCTGTCAGGGACCTGTGGGCAGGAGTAAGGAGACTCAGAAGCCAGGTCAGAGGAGCCAAGTCCCCATGCCCCCTTGCCAACCTCTCCTCCCTGTACTCAGGCAAGCCTACATTCCAGAGCCACCCTATTCCACTCTGGGCTCAGCATCATCCACAAGCGTACCTTCAGAAGAGCAACTGCACAAGACCATTGGCCAAGGTCAAATCAAGGGCAAACCCCATTTCCCAACCCAATGGCTTCCCCTTAGTACTGCTGCCCCACAACCTCTCTCAGCACCATGGGCAGGGCCTTTGCAAACTGTGGTTGCTCTCCTCCCATGGGAAAGATTAAATGGGGGAAATGACGAGGGGTGATACTGATCAAGAAGCATTATACTTTCAGACTATTTGTGGAATTGAAACCCATTTGTACGACTACTTAAATATAATTTTAAAAATGAATTTAAAAAGTATTTCAGTGTAAGTACTTCCTACTTTAGGTTAACTTGATCACGTGCTAATTCAGACAAGCTCTTGCACCCATCAAAAGAAATGACTCAACCCATGCCTAGGTAATCTCTAATCAGACAGCCTCTGAAATTACCTATTAACGAGGTTATTGAGCCGGCTGGCTTGGGGGATGGTGGAGTCCTCCCCACTGGCACTGAGCTTGGTTGGGGATTGGAGATCAAGGTTCTCAGGCTCCATGGGTGGCTGGCAGGCAGGTGGGGCAGGGTAGGCCCTCGGAGAGAGGCGGCTCAGCTCAGCCTGCTCTGGCCCCTCTGGTTTGGCATTCTGGTTGAGGTTGTTGAGCACGATGAACTTGTACTTCTTCCAGTTGCAGGCTTTGGGATCCGTGGGGCTCTTGGCTGGAGGGGAACCAGAAGCCTGGAGGATGCAGGCGTTCTTGCTGCTGCAGGACTCTGTGGGTGAGTTGGGCTGGCAGTCAGATTTCTGGGGGCTCTGTGGACTAACCAGACCCTTCCGGTTCAAGGGCGCATTGGGGGGCTCGAAGTGCAAGGCAATCTCATCCTCTGAAGAAGGTCTCTCTTCTTCTTTGCTGGTCTTGTCACAAGGGAAGTATGGGGCGTTTCTAGCCGAGGGGGCAGCAGGCTTGGGGCCCTCTGCCACACTGTAGTGCATGTCGCTTCGTGCTTCATCTGGGACTGCATCCTTGGGTGAGTAGATGTTGCTGTGGCACACACTGGGTGGCATCTCCATGGCTGGCCGGCTGTACTCGCCATGGACTGGCCTGGTACTATCACAGGGAAGGGCCCGTTCCTTGGGAAAGGGGTTGGCCACAGGCATCCGGGCATCTCTCAGCTCTTCATCAGGGAAGAGGAAGCCATTGACTGGGAGGTGGCTGTACATGGGATAAGAGGCTGGTGGTGTGGACAGACCACTGTACAGGCTGGGGGCAAAGGCTCTGCTCTCACACCCGGGGGTATTTCTTAATGGTAGGCTGGTTTCTACCACTTCCCGGCCCCGATAGGCCATGATGTCTTGGGGCATCAGCATCCGGCTGTTGAGGAAGTCTTCCCGAGGAGGCTTCATGGTAGGAACCATCTCTGCTTCACTGTTGGAGAAAACAAAAAAGAGAAAAGCCACCAGACCCAAAATTAGAACTGTTAGGCAGATGACCTTGCAGTGACACTGTTATGTAACCACATCTGTGCTTGAGTCAGCTGGACACCGGGGAATGTTGCGCTGAAACATGGCTTCAAGGCATCTAGGCTACAGCTGAGGAAACTGAGGCCCAGAGAAGGCAGATGAGCTACCTATACAATCAGTATCTGATCAGATATGATCCTGTAAATTGAAGGCACCTATACATGAATGTCTGTGAGTCTATCATATTCTGATGTTACTTTTATGGCTTTTATGGCTTATATAAAGCTTTAAAAGTCCCTGTCTCCTGTCAGACACGCAAAACATTCCTACAAGGAAGGAAAAGCAGGTACCTGACATACACAGAACCAGAGAGGGGCAATATATACAATATATTCAATGCAGGTACCATGCAAAACTAGTTCTTTACTAAATAAAGGAGCTGCCCATGTGCTGAATGGCCTCTCAGGGAGGTTAATGGTGGAGAATGGATAGCAAATGCTAATACAAGAAGCCCTGATTCTAGAGCAGACAGTCCTCTTTAGAAAAACTTATCTGTGCCATTTAACAACTAAGTGACTTGTAGCAAGTTATAGTTCAGAGCACAAGACTTGGCCTATACAAAGTACTCACAGATGACCTTCATGATGAACTTGCCACCATGATTACCCACAGGAGAGCTCTGACCGCAAAGTCTTGAAGGGACATTATGTGGGTGTAAAAGTAGGCCAGTTCAACATGATCACAGTGAACAGAGCTAGAACCAATATGTGAAAGCTAAAGGAGCCAGATCTTTCAAATGGCCATGAGGAAGAGCTATCTAACTGCCCAGTGTGGAATGTGCAGCTCTGGGAATACTGAGTTCCTAGTCACATGTTGGAGCACACTTCTGTTGAGTAAGGACACAGTCATTCTAGAACAGCTGGCTCAAATGGTTCCAAAGAAGTTAAGCCTTAGTCTCTGTTCCATTTTGAGAAGCTCTTTACTTCTTTGGTTCTCAGGATCCTTCCCTTTCAGTGATGATTACATCTACCATTGCTTGGAGAAGAAGTTTAGACCACTAAACTAAACCAGGTTCAATAAATGTTCTTGCAGGGGCTGGGAATGTACCTGAGTGGTAGACTGCTTGCTTTGCATGCATGAGGCCCTGGGTTCGATTCCTCAGCACCACATAAATAGAAAAAGCTGGAAGTGGCACTGTGGCTCAAGTGGTAGAACACTATCATTGAACAAAAGAAGCATAGGGACAGTGCCCAAGCCCTGAGTTCAAGCCTCAGGACTATAAAAAAAAATGTTCTCCTTAATAGGAACAGAGTAATACAAAAGTTGAGCAAAGCAGTTCCTATCAATTTAAATAATCCACAGTTTGGGAGGGAAATTGGGGAAGCATGTGCACAGTTGTAACAGAAATCTAAAGAACAAAAACATATTTGTAAATTTTTTAAGATGCTGTAGAACATAGAGGAAGAGCTGGGGGAGGAAGAGTAGTAATCAGAATAATAATGTCTAAACTGATCTCTAGCTGCCCATGCCTGTAATCCTAGCTTCTCAGGAAGCTGAAATCTGAGGATCATGGGCCAAAGCTATTCTGGGCAAGAAAGTCCATGAGACTCATCTCCAATTAAGCACTAAAAAGCCAGAATGGAGTTGTCACTCACATGGTAGAGCACCAGCCTTGAGCAAATAAAGCAAAGCAAGAGCCTGAGACCCAAAGGTTTGGCTTTTGCAGGATCCTAGAAGAAACCAGGAGGGACTAATGAACTGGGTGCAGTTGGACATCTATAAGGGGTCAAGTTTGCATAAAGTGAAAGAGCTAAGAAGGACAGACACGGGCCATGGTGGCACGTGCCAGTAATCAGCAAGGAGGTTGAGGCAGGAGGATGTTGACTTCGAGACCAGCCTGGGCTATACATTGCTGGGCACTGGTGGCTCATGCCTGTAATCCTTGCTAGCTACTCAGGAGGCTGAGATCTAAGGATCATGGTTCAAAGCCAGCCTGGGCAGGGAAATCTGTGAGACCAGTATCTCCAATAATCTACTCAGAAAAAGCTGGAGGTGGATCTGTGGCTCAAGTGGTAGAGCGCTAGCCTTGAGCACAAAGAGGTGCAGGGACAGTGCCCAGGCCCTAAGTTCAAGCTCCAGGACCATCAACAAAGAAATAATAATAATAATAATGGAGGAAGATGAGGAGGAGGAGGAGGGAGGAGAAAAGGAGGAAGAGGAGGTGGACAAGGATGACGACAATGACAGAAATGTGCAATCATAGTAGCAATGTAGACTGCGGCATATTATATTAGATTATTTTTTGAATGCATGAATTCTCAAGGGTTTCTGATCCAGAAGCATCTCAGCTCACCTAGCTTTGATGAACTTCCGGCACGTGTCCACAACGTGCTCCATCTGCAGGTACATGGCTGTGGCCATCACAGCCATGATGTTGCCTTCTCGCAGATTGAGCCGAGATGTGTACATGAAGTCCAAGAGGATGCAGAACCCTTCAGGGTTGATTTCAGGATCCAGATTGATCACGCTGAGGTTGCATTTCAACTGGTCTGTGAAGATGCTATAGAATAGGCCACTGTAAAACAAGCAAATGTCCCATTATAGTAGACAGAAAGAATCTGTAAGATGTTAATAGCAGCGTGGATGAGCTCTCCTTCCCAGGGCCTACATTCTGACCTTCCATGGAATAAGTAATAGCTTGGACTTGGGAGAGCTTACCAAAGTCCTAAGGCACCTTACATACATACATTTGCCTGCCTTCTTCACAACCCTATGAGATAAACATTACCATGTTTCACTTTTACAAAGTGGTGACTGAGATGACAGAGGTTAAGTGATATGCTCAAAGTCACAGTGCCTGCTGTTCTTTTAGTCTTAACTGTGTGGATTACCAAAGTTAAATTTAGCATTCATTCCTAGTATCTATTCTTAGTCTACATTTCTGGGATGGTTCCCCTCTTGTTCTATCACATTATTCTCTTCTCAAAAAAAAAAAATCTGCTGTTTGTTTTTAGGATAAGAAGTTGGGTATAGATGAGAAACAAATAAAATGATGCCTTCACATACATCCTACCATTTTTTCCAAAAGCCCAGAGATAATCAAGTCAATTGTTCCATGTGGTCATCTCACTTCAGGTTGTCACCTATAAGTACTTGTGCAGCCTTGGCTGAATAATAGCATTACTTTGGAATGGGCATTACAAGAAATGAGTATATGAAGGGCATGAAATGATGCCTACCTGATAAGCATGGCAGACACTTACTGAACATTGGCCATTATTGTTGGACAACTAGAAACCTCTGTCCTCTCCACTATTTGTTTTTTGTTTGTTTTATGGTACTGGGAGTTTTAACTTGGAGTCTCACACTTGGTATTCAGGTGTTCTACTACTTGAGCAACATCCCCAACCCATTATTGCTTTTAGTTCTTTTTCAGCTAGGGTCTTTCAGTTTTTCCTGGAGCTGGTCTGGGACTATATCATTCCTACCTACATCTCCTGTGTAGTAGGGACTACAGATATGCACCACTATATCTGGCTTATTTACTTATAAGGTGTCTCACTAACTTTTTGTCTAGCTAGCCTCAAACTAGGACTTCAACACTATTTTTTTAAGTGCTGTGGAGGAGATGTTGGATATGTTCTCCAATTGCAATAGAGACCCTGATTCTAGGTGAATGATATAGAATCAAAGCTAGTGCTTTAAAAAAAAACTTATCTATTAAAATGAAGGTATGGTTGGGCATTGGTGGCTCATACCTGTAGTCCTAGCTACTCAGGAGGCAGAGCTCTAAGGATCACTGTTTGAAGCCAGCCAAGCCGTAAAGTCTGTGAAACACTTATCTCCAACTAACCAACAAAAAGTCAGAAATAGAGCTGTGGCCTAAATGGTAAAGCCTTGAACAATGAAAAGCTCAGATACAGCACCCAGAACCAGAGTTCCAGACCCAGGACTAGAAAAAATTGATATTAATTAAATGGAGGTATAGTGCCATCTTAGCACACATGATTACTAGAAAGATCTGAGGAGACAAATTAATATAACACATCAATATTGAAAATATTAAAGAATTAGCTCTCAAGTCTCACACCACTTTATACACTCATGGAAACATACTCCCAAGATAAAACAAACACAATTATAGCCCCCGCCTCACCCCAAAAAGCACAAAAGTTCAAATTAAGTTGCTTATACTAGAGACTCTTCCTTTTTTCCTTTTTCCCTGGTTAACTGAAGTTATTCTTCCTGCTCACACTAAACACACCCTTCCCTGTTGTAGTCTGTGATTTCCTCCTTCTATGTCCACAAAACAGAAAGTGTTTCTCTCCCGAAAGTGCATAAGGGCACACATTCATTCACATCCATACCGGCTGCAACTCCAGGCCCTGTGCTGCTAACAGACAAGCCAGGAGTCATTCCATACACAGTTCTGTCTCCACTGGCTGCCAGCATGGTCAGCTCTCTTTTCTACAATCCCCCTTCCCTTTCAGACCACTCACCTGCAGGCCATGAGAACTGTCTTATGGGCTCTGAACTGCTCACGACTAACCACAATGACAACATCCGTCAAGATGTCGCGACTTCGGAGGCGATTAAGGTTGAGAAGGACGTCGCTGGCATGGCGGGTGAACTGTATACAACTGTCAGCCGGTGAGGCCATTTTGTCTTCACCTGAACAAAAGAAGTCAAAATTCTATGAATCCTCAAGAAACTGTTTCTTGCCTACCAAGAGTAACAAAGCAGATAGATGGTTCAACCTGCTCAGGTATGAAATATGAAACGCAACCTAGGTCCTCTGTGTTTCATCTTTGAGCAACTAACTCATCACCCACCTCTGAGTGTTCTACACAATGAGAAGAAAAGCCTTTATCAGAAGCTGGCATAGGAAGTTCTTTAGGTGGAAGGGAAGAACTGTTGTTGAATGTTTTCCTAACGTACCAAAGACCTTGCCAAGCATTGAGAGGCAGGGAAGTATGTTGCAATGGAGAAAGACCATGAGGCTAACTTTTCCTTATGCTAGCTGTGTGGCTTGGAGCCTGCTGCTGTTTCTAGGCTTTGCTCTTACCAAATAGGCACAGGAATACCCACGTAGTTGTAAAGTTTAGAGATCTGTGCCAGATTATGGCAGGTTCTCAAAAAATTGCAGCCATACCCAGGTCCTGTTGGCTTCTGCCTCTAATCCTGGCTACTCAGGACTAAGATCTAAGAAGGGCAGTTCAAAGCCAGCTCAGGCAGGAAAGCCCATGACATTCTTATACCCTATTAAACACACACACACACACACACACACACACACACACACACACATCCAGGAATGGATTCATGGCTCAACTGGTAGAGTACCACCCTTAACTAAAAAATGCTAATATATGGCCACAGGAAAAAAATATATATATATAAACTATTTCATCAGTACTTTATTTCATTTCATTTCATTATCCTGATCATAATCTAGTTCTCTCACAACTTGGATTCAGACTTGTTTTGCTTTTTATTTTAGCACTGACTGGGCCATTGTTGGGGCACAGCAGGTGGCTACCTTCTCTAGGGTGAAGAATGAGAAAAGAAGGAATCACCATGCAACAGTGTGAAGTCTAACCATGTAGGAGTGAAAGCTTGTTGGGAGATACAAGGAATTCATTTTTCTTTGTCTCTTCCAATGCAAAGTTCATCAAGACACATGCATTTGCAAAATGAAAAAAAAGAAACAATTTATCCACAAAATTATAAAGCATAGAATTCCATCCACTTACCCAAGGCCTTGCTTCACAGTTCAAATTTTTGCTTAAAACCTACAAAGAAGAAAGCCAAGAGAAATTGATTTAATGAATGTTAAGGTTGTCCACTGTAGTCTTATTTTAGGATACACGTAGTTAGTTTTGCTTTGATAGTTGCAGCCTGCCAGCTGGTGTGGTTTTACCACAAGCTAGCAAACATACTCCAGTTCTGCTCTTTTCAGAAACAATGGGACTCTGAAGCTTTGAAATCATAATATTTCTACCCTCAGTATTGAAAATACAATTGCATACATTAATTACAAATACATGTACACATATAGTTCCTTTCTCTAAATAAAAAATTTATACATCCAAAGGCCACTTGAGTTTACGGGAAATAAAAAAAAAGTAGTTCTTTCAATATTAATGATAATGATCCTTCAGGGACCCAAAAACACTGGACACTATTCAAAACCTGCTAAAAATATTGTCTTTCAAGTCTTAAAGTGATTCCATGAAGCTGATAGGTTCGATATCTCTATCCATCCTTCCCTGGTGACAAAACTGAAACTTGATGGTTCGAGTGACTTGTTCAGGACAAATAGCCAGGCAGTATTTCCTGAATCTCTGAAACATTGAGGACTAAATACGGAGTCTACAGAATATAACCGGAGAAGGCACTTCTATGCATTCCTTCATTATCTTTGCCCTCTTTTTCAAAGTTTCCTCTCTATTGCCTCTGAAGTCTAAGGCCAGATACAATGCCCCGGCTTCCAAATTTGTACTTCTTCCTGGTAGGAAACGATTTAACTGTGTAGTTAGCTGAGAACTAGCCTGGGGAGCACTAATCTTTAAAGAGATTTAATGAAATATGTGCTCTCTCCAAATTGGTTTCTCTAGAACAAAAATCATTAAGAGCCTGGGTGTAAGACATTTAGGAGCATAGGTAGACTGCAAAACAGAACAAGATTGGAACTCTCTTCCTTCATTTGAAAAAGCACAGCCCTTTGGAGCTATTTTTCTGGGTAAAGGGGCCTGATGAAGGCCCGTGAGGTCATGTTGGGCCACGTAGATGGCTAATGGCCTGGCCCTAGGTCTTCTGGCTCAAATTCCTGTCCCCTTTCCAAATAAGCCTACGTGCTATGGAACATGCGACACAGCACCCTGAGGTGGGTGAATCTCGTTTTTAAGTTCCTTCCCCCACACAAACTTTGCCCCATTCCAGGCTGCTGAGTCTTACCAAATGAGCACTCTAAAATGAGAGGTTTTCTTGAGTCTGTAACCAAACACTGACATTTCTCTGTGGTCCCAAGTGCCAGTCACTCAATCTCATCAGCTTCAAGGTTAATGTGCGCATGTGCATGAGAGGGGATTGAAGAAGGAAACAGGGGAAGGGAGAGAACAGAACAGAAAAATACAACAGAACCTATCTCCTCCTCTCCTCATTCCAAGTCAAAGGTAGGTAGAGAGAGATACACTAAGCCCTAACCAGAGTGCAATGAGTATTTCCTCTGAAAAACAATGCTGAAGACAGCATGGAGTTTATGTATAAGCTTTCTCCTCGATTCTCAAACACTTCTAGAATACCCAGGCTGTCTTTTAACCGGCTTTAACCACTGGCTCAATTGTGGATTTCCAGTCACAGACTTTTGGAACCACAGGAAGCTGGGATTTGCCATTTCACCATGGCAAGTGGCTGTGACTCACTCAAGATGCAGACTGTAGCAATCAAACAAAAGACAAATATTTGGGACCGCCCAGCCTTGGGCTGTCACCTTGAACCTCCTTTTGGCCTGAGCAAAAGCAAATGCACGCCCAGGTAGCCTGCTTCCTTAGCAAGTTCAGCTAACTCCAGTTTAGTAGCTCACAGCTTCCAGAGGTGAGAGCAAAGATGTGACAGACGCAGAAGCATCAGTTTTTCTACAAAACACAAGCTTTGTCCCATCCACGACTACATCTTTTTTTAACATAGCCCTGATCTACTGTAGAGGAAACAGAGGTTCCAAAAAGAAGACTTGTCCAAGAACTCAAATTCAATCTCTAACAAAGTCCTTGACAACCCTTCTTTACCAGGTACAGTCACACCAATGCCTCTCCAAGACTCAGACATTCAAACCACCACCAAGAGTATGGGACCACCATGCAACCACCAAGAGATCAGGATCATCAAGGAGAAACTTAACCACTAGGAGTCCAGACCAGGACCTCCCCACCAAACCTCAGCGCTGAGTGCAGTCACCACCAAAAGGAGAGAGAGAGAGTTAAAAGTTGTCAAGTCTCCCCACTTCGTCCCTCCTTTCGCATTTTCCTTGTGTGTATTCAGTGAGACACAAGGAGGTACTCCAAATGAGCTTCCCGTGGTTGGGGGAGGAGAAGGCCAAAAGAAAACAAAAACAAAACGAGAGCAAAGAGGAAAAATAGCAAACGCAAAAGAGAGGGGGAAAAAAGAAATCTAAGAGGCGAGGTGAAGAGTAAGAAAGTGCTCCAGTCAGAAAGACCCCATTCCTTTTCTCCACTGGGTTGGTATCAGGCGCGCGCTCGTGCGCGTGTGCACGCACCCCCCCCCCCCCCCAGCACAAACAGAAACCCAGCAGCCGCGGCAGAGCCAGAGCAAGCCTGCGCAGACTCGCCCACCCCACCTCACCATACCTGTCTTCCAGGGTCCGCCCACCCCCAGGCAATCAGCAGGCTCGGGGATTGAGGCTGCCCATTTACTTCCAAGCTCCAGAAAGCGCGGTGGAAGCCGGGTGGTAGGATGGTAGCGGCGCTTAATTTAGAGACATCCAAATAAAAGTTTTCACGCACTTCGGTAGCTAACATTGTGCATATGCCTTTTTTTTCCTGTTAAGCCTTCAAGGCAGGGGGTAGTTGAGGGGAATAGCACAGCCCTCTCATTCCCGGAACCTAGTCGATCTCAGCTCAGTGGATTTCACAGAACACTCTGCCCATTGCCCGGCTCCAACCAGAAGTAACTTTCCAGGAAGCTGCTGGTCCCAGAAGGCTGCCAGAATCGCTGTGCGGCGCCGGGATTCACCCGGGGACGGAGGTGGGGGGGACGGGGGAGGGGAAGGGAGAGAGAATAAGTCCCCCTTTCCCCAGTCGGCTCGGGTTCCAGGGCTCTGAGTTCACCTAATCCCACCCCTCCCCAGCACAATTTACAAGTAGGCAAAGACAGACAAGTTCGTAGCCGAGCCCGGGACGGAACTCAGGAGTTTGGATCCAATCAGAGGTTCATGTCTAGACTTAAGTTGCCCAATTCTGCCGTTTGTTTGCCTGATGTGTCCTGTTCTCTCTTTTTGCTTACCTCCCTTTCTTTCCCTGCTCTTTTTTTTTTAAGGGGGATATTTAGACGAGATGTTAAAAGTTTCAAAGATGAAATACCTAGAGTTCATAAGGGTCCAACCTGGGATACCCAAAGGAGTTGGAGAAAAATTAATCTACAAAACCCCATCCGGGTATGCTGGCTACAAAGTCTACCAGGATCTGGATCCACCAGGCTGAACCTTGGCCGGGTTTCGGGATTTCTGAATCCTATTATCCAGAAATCCTAGAGATATGGTTCCCAGTACGCAGAGGCCCGGGGAGGGCGCGAACCCCAGCATGCGCGCTGGCTGGCTGGCACACTCCAAAGTTGCCTCGCCTTTCCCAGGAATTAAAACCTCTGAGTTCCATCTCCCAAATGATCTCTATGACCATTCAAGAGGCTTTGGGGCGGGGGGGCTGGGGGAATGGGGAGGAAATCAGGCTCTAGTCCTAAAACTAGCGGATGGCGTCACAGTGCGCCGTGCATCCATTCTGAGGTGGAGGCGGGGTCAGAGTTGGTCCTCAAAAGACTGAGGACTCTCGAGATCCCTGTTTTTTTTTACCCAAAAGCAAAGCGGGGGAGGAAGAGTGGGGGTTAGAAGAGGTTAGAATGGGATAGGAATGAGAATCTAGGGCGTTAGACTGGGCTTTTATTGGAAATGGGGAGTCCCGTGGTTCCCCAATCATGTCTTTACCGCTGCCTAACACTAGAGAGCGCTCTCCATCAACTCTTGAAAAGACAAGCCTTTCCTAGTCCGCCTCTCCTTTTCATTGACCTAGTTTAGCCAGAGTCTTGATTTGAAGAATGCCTTCTCCCTGCTCTCCCCAGTCCTTTCTATCCAGGCCGGCTGTTGGATTGTTGGTAAACTAATAACTCCAATAACTCGCTGGAAAAAAAAAAGCCAAAGGGGAATTTTGAAAGTGCAAAGCACTGTTTGGGGACAGAGACAAGGAATTTTAATAAGATTGGAGCTGCTGCAGTGAAATGCCCATCAGGGCTTCTACTGGGGGTCTGCAGCAGCCTCTCAGCCAACAGGCAGCGGCCACAGTCACCCAGGTCTTGGCAGGAGGGGGTAGGGTCAAGCTGTTGGGTTGCTTTTGTTCTGGGAGTAATGAAGGACACATTGTGCTCTGGGCTAGGGGGCCCGGGAAGGCAGGAGAAGGGACAGTAGATAAAAAGCAAGTTTGATAGCACAAGGGTGTGGATGAGCTACTTGGGGGAACCAAGGTGTTCGGGACTTTATGTCCTGACTTTCCTTTCGATCACGTTTCCTGCCTCAGCGCACTAGCAAGCCTACAAGCTTCGAGGAAATGCAATAAAATGAAGGGATGTGTTTTATCAGCAAGATCTGAAGACGAGCAGCAGAAAGTACACTTCTTCCCCCCCCCCTCCTTTCGCCCAATCGAAAATAGCCTTCCAGAAGGCCTGCAGTTAAATGCCAGCAAACCACGACCCTGGGCAGAGATCTCTTGACCATCCTACTGGACTGAACTCCGCCTTAGCAAGAAGAAGAAAAAAAAAATTGGAGAGGGAGGGGCGGGAAGCATGATCTCCACAAGCAAACAATGCCGTTTAAAATTCGATCTGGACAGAAGTCAGCCAAGGTCTTTATTCACGTTAATGAAGATGGAAGGCACTAACTGTCCTTGGAAAGCGATGAGTCAAACTTGACCGCGCTTCAAACACGTCCCCAGATTCTTTTCCAACCCGAAACAGAGGCGCATTTCTCCGACTCTGCCTCCGACAGCTCCCGCAGAGGGAGAGGCTGAACTTGATTCCGGCAGACTTGGATGGGGGAGGCGGGTAAGCAGTAGGAAGGGGGAGGCGGTTAGACCGCTGTCTGGGGCTGTTGAGCACACAGGCCGCCACTAGAGGTCACCAGCGGGCTGATGCTCATTTTGCCACCTTAAATCAAGAACTCAAAAATCTTTACTGAGACGCTGTGGCACACATTCCAGGATGACGTTCTGCCTAGCCATATGCTACGCTCCCCCCCCAAAAAAAATCCCACACACATGCACACACATGTACACACTTGATTCCTCGCCAAGCTACTGAGCAAAGGATAAAGGAATTGGGAGGAATGATGTCAGGGTCCAAATATGAACCTCTGGAGTCGCATGGTGCCTTTCTGCAACCTGATATACTTGGTAGGCATTAAGCACTCACGCCCGACTCCAGTATATGCATACCTCCAAGATTCGAGACACGTCACTCCTCAGTACCATGACAACTCTTCTGTCCATCACCAAAATCTTAGGCCATGCTTTCTGAACAATCTCCTCTAAGAGTGATAGGAAGCCATTTGTAAGGTGCACTGCCTACTTATAGAGACCTATGTGGTTAAACTAAGCGCTCTGAGCTAGACACTGACGGTTTAAGCCTGTAGCCCTAGAAACTCTGAAAGTTGAAATCCAAGGATCACTGTACAAAGCCAACCTGAGCAAGAAAGTCTGTGACACTCTTATCTCCAATTAAACACCAAAAAGCCAGAGGTGGAGCTGGCTCCGGATGTAGAATACCAGCCTTGAACAAAAAGCTATGGGGACAGCGCCCAGGCCTTGGGTTTAAGTCACAATACTGGCACACACACACACACACACACACACACACACACACACACGCACACTTTAAGGGGAGGGTTCTGTTTCTTCTTCTACTTGGATACTTTAAAGAAGCAGAGGTAAATTTTGCCTGTGACTTTGCGCCACTGCCTAGTCCTGGTTAGGTCGCTGTCAAGTCTATTTCCTCATCTTCAAAATAGAAGTCGAGCCCTTAAGCTCTTGCATTTTGGATGACAGCCTTCCATCACCCCAGAGAGGGGCCACAGCCACAGGTAGATATCCTCAAAGAGTTGAATGTTTCTCTTGGCTGAGATAAATGTGGATTACGGAGTGATTATCAACAGAGGCAAGCATCTGGGGTCTTTCTGATCCCTAACAATCCATTAAAAAAAAAACAAAAACCTCTTATATCGGACACGGTCCCCAGTGGGGCGTCTCCTTCCTCTGTTCTGGACACAAACCCCAAGGTGAAAGGGTCGACCTCACGCTCACTGCAGAGGCAGTGACCATGATCCGCCACTAGGTGGCAGACGCAGTCCGTCTGAGAATCATTATTCGGCCATGGTCTTCCACACTGGGTCCCTTCCTTTTATTTATTTATTTTTCTTTCTGTCTCTTGGGGGTGGGGATAGAGATGTTTCCAAAACCAAAGCTGGAAAACAATTTAGTGAATATAATCCCTTCTTCCTGACGCTCAACGCCTTTAGTAATCACCGCGCAGTTTCTGGAACTGCTTTTTATGCATCCTACGTGGATCTCCCCACCCCATTAAAAAATAGCTATCTTGGGAAAAGAAAGAAAAGGTGCGCTTTTCTTCAAATAGAACCATGGGTGGCGATGTTAAGTGAGATTTTTGCAATTTCTCTCTATTTTTAAATGCTATCAACCAGCAAAGAAAGTCGGGAAGACATTCATCATCTCTCTCCGTAAAGGAAAGGGATTGAGGGGGAGCCAAGGCAGGCAGGCTCTCCCTGGGACTGACAGCGCACGACCAAGCAGGAGATGGGCACGGGAATCTGGTCTTCTGGAGGGTGGACTAGGCGGTGGGAAGGGTCTGGAGAGCGGTTGCTGGCTTCCTTTGGAGCTAAGAGAAGCTGGCCGCTTGGGCTCTGCGCTTCGCGCTGCTCCTCGGGCTGCTGGCAGCGCGGTGGTGGCGTTCCCACTTGTTGCGCAGTTCAGTAAAGAAACCTGCGTATGTGCGCCGAGCGGCTTGGACCCACACAGCCTGCCACGGCTCCAGGCCATCCACAGTCCTACCCCACCGCCACCGCCAGCTAAACGGCAACACTTCACACACACACACACACACACACACACACACACACACACTCCTGCTTATCTGTCAGACAGAATTCAGGTGTCCTGAAAAGTCAAGTACAACTCCTCCACCCAGAGACCTAGTCTTAAAGTCAACCATCACACACACACACACACACACACACACACCACGCCATCATGCCTCTTATGACACTTTCCCTACATGGTTTCTGGAACAACATCTCCAAGGATGACACTATGCTAGCTGGCGAACAATGCTTTTCTTCACTATCGGAGAGATCAACCTGCCAGGTTTTCCTCTTCAACGTTTTGCCACTTTAGTCTTTTTTCACCTCCCCAGATTCTATACATAATATATGCCCCCATGAAGGTAATTTCACAATTATTTTTTCCAGTGTTTGAC